CTCACTTTCTTATGAAATTTGAATACTGTGTATTTTTAATATATTCATATTTTTAATGTGAAATATGATCTCAAGCCAAAAATATGAGATATAGTGATAATGAATAAGGTAAACGCAGATGAATGTAATAGCAGAAAAAAGAACACTACTTTTCAGTAACTGGATTTTTTTTTTAGAAACTATACCAAGATGCACCAACTAAGATAATTATACATTTACATAATATGAAATACTTATGCACTGCAAATTAATTGAGAATTAATTATAACATTATCCTTTTAAGTGAGAAAAATGTACTACTAGTTGGGTTTATTCTGCCCTCTTGTCAGTTGAAAAATGATTTCAAAATTATTCCTTAATTCTTTCTTCTTCAAAAAAAACTCATTTCTTTAATAAAAACATCAGCCATCCATGTCTGGCTATAAACTAAATATGTTGGATATTCCAGGAATTATTTTTTCCAATGTACCTAGAGAACATGCTGCTGAAAACAAATATTTTAAGGAATAGTTTTTATCTTAGGAAAAAAGGGCAATGGCATAAATAATTATTCCGGGAAAAAGGAATGACATTGCTAATGAGCATGGATTGTCCCAGGAGGGCTACTGGAGTGTACACGAAGGGGATGGTTTCAGTGCAAGTTTATCAAAGTCAGTCCTGAACTTCAATGGACCTGAAGTTCTGACTCTTATTTATTCTTCCAATTTATACAGCTGCCCATCTCATATAAATGACTCTGAGTGGCTTACAATTAAAAACAATACAATTCAAAAATAACTATATAAAAATATACTTTAAAAAATCTTAAAACGCATAAAACTCCTAGCTGAGGTTGTCATATAATGAGACTGAAGCGATGAATAAACTGCTCTATTTTTTTAAGGCTACTCTTCAATTTCACATTAAAGTATGATCAATTATTTGGAGTCAATTTTTCAATCTGAATATGGGCTCAGAGAAAGGGGAAAAAACAACTTTAAGCTAGAGGTGGACCATTTATTTTGCTGCCTCATTTTAGGCACTGTTTTGTGTCCAGGAGGCTCAAAGAAATATTGCAAAGGCACCATAAATTTATAGTATTATTTTGGTAACAATTTTAACCTGTCACTTACTGTAGAATGCTATTCCTAGGGGGTTTCTTTAACTACCCAGTCAAAATAAGTAAATGCTTATTATTGATCCAGCATCTAAAAAATGCAATTTGTAAGGATTGTATGCTTATCATTTGGAACTTCAGTTCATAGATATGCATATATACAGTATATATATATATATATATATATATATATATATATATATATATATGTTTTCTGAGGTTTTCGCGGGTATTTGTATGTAGGTCTTTGGTTGTTCGGGTTTTTTCCCGCGTAAAATTGGAAGTTCCAATTTTACTTCCAATTTTACGCGGGAGAAAACCCGAACAACCAAAAACCTACATATATATATATATATATATATATATATATATATATATATATATATATATATAGGAGAGTAGCACAAGCACAGTGTCTCAGTTTAATCCCTTTTGTTGCATTGTTTTTTTCTCAGTTATGGCTGCCATTCTACACATAAGTCTTTCCCAATCTAATCTTCCCTTGGTTGGGAATAATTTTGACTTGAAATCCAGTATAACTGGAGAATATCACATTGGGAAAACTGTTATACACAGTTAATGAATAAACTCAGCCGAACATACTTTTACAAATTATACAATTACAAGGTAACATATTAAGGTATCTTCTTTTCTTTGTATTATACTCTAGTTGTACAACTTCATTTTAACTATAATTAAGTTTAACACAATTAGCCATCAGAACAACAGTAGTAAGACTGCTTTAATAGTCTAGCTTTATCAAAAAGCAATTTAGAAGCAGCAAGAATAGAAAGAGAGGTTTCTTTCTACTTTCTCCTCTCTATTTTAGAAACAACCAGGAACAATTAGTATGAATAAAGCCACTAACCTTGTGGAGTCTTTGTCATATTCTCAGAGGTGGTGCTAGGAAGAAGGTGGCACCAAGTACTGTCTCCCTCCGAATTTAATCTGAGGAGATTATAACTGTTCCTTGCCAGGACTGATGGAGAAAAGGGTTTCTGCAGATCAGGTTTGCTAGCTGCTGCTACATCTCTAATCGTGCCTAAGATACTTATAGTAGGAGCCTTATGTCTGTTGTTTAAATCCTGCAAAGCATCCTACGCTTAAAGCGTAATGGAAACTCCATATGTGCCATATCTACTTTCAAAAATCCAGCCTTTTATCAGCCTTTAAAGCAGAGGCCCCCAACCTTTTGGGCACCAGGGACCGGTTCCGTGGACAGAGGTTTTTCCACAGACCGGAGGAGGTGTGGTTTTGTGTGCTGTCTGCATCCCACGGATGGGGCTTTGCTTGTTTGTGCAGGCCGGTTGCTGGTCCACGGACCAGGGGGTGGGGATCCCTGCTTTAAAGGAAAAGACGCATCTTGTACAGATAGTCCTCTATTTACAACCACCATTGAGCCCAATATTTCTGTTGCTAAGTGAGACTGATGAGGGGCTTTCTCAGTTTGAAACATAAATTTAGGAACAATTCCCAACTGATGTTAATGTTTTTAACAAGACTTTTCTGTGTAACAGAAAACAGGTACATTGGGTATCCACAATACACCATTTTTAATTCTCTCTTAAAAATTATACTCTGTACTTCAGCGGAGCTTTCAGAAGCACTTGCAAAAATTTAATACATAAAAAAGGAAGCTTATTAATATTGTGGTCTTTTTCTAAAACATCTCATGTTTTTTTAAAAAATATTTTTGCCTAGCAGTCCAAACAAAAATGTTTCTGATCAGTCCACAAATGGGAAGGTGTACAGGCAGGACACCACTAGGAGAACATTCCCTGAAAAATGTCATTCCTAATTTCTGATGAGGACCTAAAGGAGAACTTTGGAAAATGAGTACAGATTTAGTGCATCCTCCTCCTAACCTTGATGTATGAGAATGTACTGTTTGGGGACAAGCATGCACAAAGGAATTAGGTTTCAGTCCTTTACTTCATGAAATAAGAGATTTACAGATAGCAGCATTATCTCTCGATATACCTGCTTCCTCATATTTTGCAAATGAATGAAGATAAAGCACTTTTGAAAGCAGATACATGTTCAATTACATATACATTTAAGCAAGGGCAACATATACATACAAGCTTGCCTGCAAACAGGACAAAGTGAACAACAGCAATATCAGATCATGATCCTGATAGATCCCAGGTGTGTATGGAGTATTTGGAAGATGGTCTAAAATCAGAGTAGCAGTGTTTCAGGACACTAAGCCCTTGAATATCTGAGCCTATCTGGAATGGTTTATATATATATGACATTCACAATGTCAGATACCATCCCAGTGTCATTACTGGATCAGCTTAAACTGCAACTTAGATATAAAAAATGAAGGTGAATTAAGAAAAATGTGGGCTTTATTCTGGAGAAAAAGTATTTTGTACCACATTCACTTTTGTTTCAGAGGTACAATATAACTCTTGTCTCATCCCATAATGTCCCCCTTGTTTAGGATGTTGTGACTTAATGTCTCTGCATGGGCAGAATTCATGTCTGTCTCAGAAAGATCCATTGAATGTAGTCAGGAGAAAGTATCTGTCAATGTCTCAGAGTTAACCTATTGGACTTTCAGCAAGGGAAATATCAATTAAAGCTGAACAACTGGGTCATATTTATGACCATGGCTATGTCCCAAGGTCATGTGATCACCTTTTATGATCTTCTCACAAACAAAATCAATGGGGGAACCAGATTCACTTAACAACTTGGTTAGTAACTTATCAACTGCAATGATTCACTTAACAACTGTGACAAGAAAGGTCATAAAATGGGGCAAAATTCACTTAACAAATATCTCACTTAACAATAGAAATTTTGGGCTCAATTGTGGTCATAAGTCGAGGACTACCTGTATATAGAGTGCAATAGAAATTTCACAAGCAAATTAAGACAGATGTAAATTGATATTTCCTCAAATATTAACTGTAAAATTTTGATGCAAAATTTAATGTAAAAAATTAAAATTTCAACACAAATAAACTTAACAGAATCTCTATGTTTTGCACTATTCTACATTATCTCTATTTGTCTTCTGAATTTCATACTATTGATTGAATGTTATTTTATTCTTGATTGGGTCTTTCAACAAAATACTATAGCAAAAATTATATGTAATGTTCCACAATTGTTGCAATATGCATTTAACAGAATAAAAGAGCTAACACTTTATTGATATTGAAAAATCTTGGAGTCAATATGCTATTAGTTTATACTTGAAAATAAATAGAATAATATTTCAAAACTGTTTTTTCTTTCAGAGTAATGACAGTCTGTGATTTAACATTCAATCCTTATTCTTTGTTCTGATGTCTAGCTTTACTTACAAAGTGATTTATCTTAATAACGGTTTCCAAAGCCAGAGTAGAGGATATAGTTTTGGTAGGAGGCAAGAAGCAATGACAAAGAATTCCCCCAAGGCTTTCTGTTATTCAGCAATGCTTTTAGGCAAAATGCATTAGAATTCTGCCAGAGAAAAATAGTCAGAACTGTTACATTGGTCCTGTGCTTGTATATACTTTTAAATGATATGAAGAAAATTTGTTGATGCCTATCAGTTGATGCTGAAGTCCACTACTTCTAATGAATAATGAATATACACACTACAGTAAATGAATATACACACCATAGCATCTCCTGGTTTTCATATATTTCACATTGGTGCATTAGTGTGTATCCAATATTGTACTTGTGAGATCCTTCATCCCTATGAAAGCAACACTGTTTTGTACTACTGTTCTTCTGCCCCAGCAACTTGAGTTCAATCAAAGCAACATCATTCTCTCACCCCTTCTTGCTTCTTTTGGCCTGTATTTCTCTTCTGTCCCCATATGTAGCTTTTGACAGATTGTACCACTATTTCTTTTTGCACAAAAACAAATGCAAAGCATTAAGGAATTAAGCAACTCACCAGCACTTTTCCTATTGTCTATCACAATCTTGCCATCTTCTTCAACTAGCAGACCAACCGTTTCTTTGACTTTCCTTTTTTTCCACCCGTTCTTTTTTTTTTTTGTAATTTGAGCTCATTCTGTAATAAGAAATGGAACAAATTCTTGTAAAATATGCAGATGGCATAATATTGGGTGAGACAGCTCACACCCTACAGATTATATTCCTATAGTTACCTTGATAGGTTAGAGAAGCAAGGTGAAATGAATAATGATGTGTAACAGACAAATGAGAAGTTGTTCATGTAGGAAATAAAATGCATTGGTATAAAATGAGGGAAACTGTCTTGAAATGAAGCAGTAGTGAAAAAAAATATCTTGATTAACACTGAATGTGAATCAATGTGATGTGGCAGCAAAAAACAATTTTATACTTTATTAGTAAAAATGTAGTTTCTAAATTAATGGGAGTAATTATTAGAATTCAAATTGTCAGATGTTATTTTGAGTATTATATTCAAATAAGGATGCCATACTTAAAAGCAGGATCTAAAAAAATTGGAACTGTTTCAAAACTGGTTAATGAGGATGATCAGTGGATTAAAACTAAATTATGTGAACATAATTCAAAGGAGTTAGGCATGTTTAGCATTGAGAAGATGGGTAGAGTTAAGTGCACTAGCATAGGTCTTTTCAAATACTGGAAATGACATCTCAGAAAAAAAGTCACAAATCTTTTTGGCATCTTCCCTTGGAGAAGGACATAGAACAGTGGTGGCGAACCTATGGCACGGGTGACAGAAGCAGCACCCAGAGCCCTCTCTGTGGGCACGTGCACCATCGCCCCAGTCGTAGGCCTTCAGCTGGGTTTTATAAAACCTTTTCGCTTTAGGCCTCTGCTGCCGTGTGCAAAAAAAAGATTCAATCAATCAGTCAATTTCAACTTCTCGCAGGAAAAAAAAAAGATCTTGCAAAGTTGGAATTGATTGAACTTTTTAATTCCACTCAGTCTGCTGTTACCACCACAGCCATGCTCACCCAACAGGCCACACCCTTCCAATGGGCCACACCCAGCCAATGGGCCACACCCATCCAGCACCTGACAATGCATGTGGGTTTTGGGTTGCAGTTTGGGCACTAGGTTTCTAAAAGGTTCGCCATCACTGACATAGATTAATGGATTTCATGGATTTAAGTTAAAGGAAGACAGATTCTGACTGTAATATTTTTTTTAAAAATCCCTCCTTTGTAATAGTTAATATAGTTCAACATCTGAATCCATTAATCTGAGAAGTTTGTAGGTTCTCCTTAACTGAATCAGTTCAAGCTGAGGCTGGACTTGTCTTTCGGGGATGCCTTAGTTTAGATTACTGCATGGAGAGAGAGTTTGGATTCAGTGGTCCAAATAGTCCCTTTCACATTGTAATTTTATAATTTTTACAATTGAGATTTAACAGTTTTGGGATATAGTTTGTGCACTGTGCATATAGTTTATCTTCCAGAAAAATAAGCGATGATGTGTAGTAAATCTTACAATCCACTCTGTATTTCTTAAATTACCACTTCAGTCTGCTTTAAATCAGATTACAGCCCGCCCATCTTTTCTATAATTATAAATTTACAGGGGATCCTACACTGCAACGGAGATGCCCAGAGTAGTTCATTAAAGACTCAGTTTAAAGCAGTTTTCTTTCAGCACCAGAGTGCATTAGGAAGAAAGTAGTCAATAGTTCTGCTACAGCAAGATAAAGTGCTGCCGTCTGTGTGTTTGTCCAGTTTAGGACTGTGTCCCTAGTTGGAAGTCACCGTTACCTCCGATTTGCTGCACCCCAAGAGCAGATATATCTTAACTCCGCATTCCATCCTTTGGAAATCCCTTTGCGATAACGCACACTAAACTACAATACCCAGAATACTTTTCAAAACCCATTCGCAAAATTCGCCTCATAAGCAAATATGAGGACAGCGGCGTTTCTAAGATACGGCCGCCCACCAGACTGATTGAAAGAACTCCTGTCCAATCTGCTACCGGCTCTTCGTAAACGCTCCAATAATGTTTCTCAGGATCGATAAGGTGGGCGGATTCTCTCGCTGGCTGCCTAGCGCTAGGATGGAGGGCAAGGGAAAAGGAGGGGGCTGGTTGCGACGGTAGAGAGAGAGAGAGAGAGAGAGCGCGAGCGAGCAGTCGCGTCCCGCGGGGACTGCAGACAACTGAGCCAACAAGGGGTGGGGGCGGCGGCAGTGAAACGGTTAACCTTGCGGGGGGGGGGAGAGAAGAGACAGAGAGACAACGGCCGTTCAGCGAGTGCCGCTGATTGCCTGCCTCGTCCTCCCCCTGCCCTCCCCTCCCCGTTAGTTACCCCGCCCGTCAGCTCAGGCTCCTTCAGGCTCTTTCTAAGCCTACCCTAGTCCGGTCCGGTCCCGCAGTTACCATAGAGACGGCGACGACGACTGAGGCGCCACCGCCGCCTGCTTGCAAGCCATGGGCCGGAGTCTGCTGCTGAGCTGTGCTAGGCTGAGCCGGAGGGAACCTCGGTAATAACATTCTCCTTCTTCTCCCTCCTCCTCCTTCTTCTCCTCCTTCTCTTCCTTTCTTTTGCCCGGAGGCTCCCCAGACAGAGTTTCTCTCTCGCAGGCTGACGAGGCAAGGGGCGCCGCTCGCGTTCCAGGTGAGAGCTTTCCCCGGCCCAGCGGATCAGGGCGGGGGTCGCCGAAAGAGAGAGAGTGAGAGAGAGAGAGAGGATCTTTTGTGGGCAGAGGGAACCTTGTTGACATTCCGCGGCACCGGCGGCCCAAGTGGCGAGAGGCCGCTTCTGTCGCGGCCCGGGGGGCGCAAGGGCAGCTGGCCCTTACTAAGGATGCTTTGGGGGGCGGGGGGGGAGAGAACTGGCGGCGGACGGCCCTTCTTCGCCTTGCCGTTCTGGTGTCGGGGTTGAAGCATCGTGGGGATGCGCCTTTGAAGATGGAGGGAATAGAGGGGGGGGGGATTGTCGGCGTCGGCTTCTGGCAGCCGAAGGTTGTTCGGAGACAGAGAGAAGGGCAACCTTTAGGGCAGCGATATCCAATAGCCTTCGAGATGTTGTTCAGGGGTTTTACATGCGGGGACAGAAAGGGGCGGAAATGCTGCAATGAAAAAAAAAAAAAAACAACCCTCCAAAACTTGACCCTTGCGTGGCAGGGGATCTGGCAGAGCTTGGGCCATCTTTTAATCTAGTTTTGTCGGCTGGTCCGACTCCTGTATTTCCTCTGCGTGTGCGCGCCGCAAGTGGATAATAGCAAGATGGATCGCCGAAGTTTGTTGCCTCGAACCAATGAAATTGTTGGCGATGCTAAAAACACTTAGTGAGCAGCGTTGTAAAAAAATACATTGTGGGCTTTATGCGGCGTTTATGTGAAAGATCACATTTTTATCTTAAGGCTTGATTGTTTCTACCTCTCTTTTATTGGTTGAAACTAATGCGGGTAGGCAGCTTGACTTTAAAATCAGGTAATGTTAATGCAGTTATTTCTCTTTTATTCATAGAAATAATCTGGAGGCAGATGGAGACTTGACACTAAACACTGCTGTTTCAACAAGCAGTTGCATGTTGATATAAATACAGTTATAGAGTTATCTAGTATATACTTTATTTTCAAAGTGACAGGTACGTTCTTATGCCAAAGACCTTAAAACTATCAGCTTATCTGTAGTTGGAGCAGGACAACATGTGTTTCAGAAATTACAGGATTTTCTCTTTCTGTTCAATACAGTTATGGTTTTTAATATTAGATTTTGTATCCAATCAATTAAAAGGAGTAGGTTTAGCAATATGAATTACATGATGATGATGATGATGATATTGATTCAGTTGAGTCCAGCTCTTGCCTTCTATGGGCCAGGTCTCTCCACATTTTCTAATTTTGCACTTTCTTTGAGTTTTTCTATGCTCTGTCCAGTGTCCAGCCATTGTATTCTTTAACGGCCTGGTTTCCTTTTACCATTAACTCTTCCAAACATAATTGCTTTCTCCAGTGAATTCTTCCATATGACATGGCCAAAGTAAATGAGACACAATGTGATTTTTCCTTCTAATGATATGTGTGGTGTTATGTGCTCCAGTACTTCCTTGTTAGTCATCTTTGCTGTAGCATTTTCTGCATATAATATTCAAGGTTATCTGAGAAATGCCTTCTTAAATGAATTAAGGTTTTTATAATATGAACATAAGTTCATTCTAATACATTTGAAAGTTGATTAGGAAACTTTTTCAAAAGTTGAAGATAAACAGTAAAGTGTTCATAGGTGTGTGGTTTGTAAGAAACAATGAACTGACCTGAACTTTAGCTTGACAAAACAGTTTCAGTGAAAAAAGCTCAATTATTTTCTTGCATGAATTATACTTTTTTTAAAAAAAAATTCCTCTCTTTGATTGTCAGGTGCTAGAGACCAGGGCCACTTGTGAAGGTGCAGTTAAATTGATTTATTGCTAAATAGCCTATGCACAGGAATCTTCTCAACTAATGGTTAATACCTACTTGTAGTTAGATAAGGGTCCACAGAATTCAGGGAGGGTTGTACTTAGTCTGCTTGTGGGCTAGGTAGAGATCCTAAGCTTATCCCTCTTTTAACTCAACCTCCATGTTTTGCCATTGCTTCTTCTACATTGCATTAACTTTGCTTATATTATGGAGTTTAAATAAAAGCTTGGAAACCAATTGACAAAAAGATATTTGCAATTGCAAATAGTTTCATTTATTTATTTTTCTTCCATTCAGTCATGTCTTATTCTTGGAGACTGCCTAGACAAGTCCTTGCAGTTTCTTGGCAACATTGTACTGAAGCGGTTTGCCATTGCCCCCTTCCTTGGGCTAAAGGGAAGTGACTAACCCAAGATCACCCACCTAGCTTTGTGCCTAAGATGGGACTAGAACTCAATCTCTCATTTTCTAGCCTGATGCTTTAACCACTACACCAAACTGGCTCTCATTTCTCATATTAATATTGAATAATCATGATCTGTATCAAAATAATAAGAGCCAATACTACGTCAGTGCTTCCTTTCCTACTCCTTTGGCCTCCTCCGTTCTATTATATCGGCTCTGGAGAGCCCCCTTCTCCCCCAAGAAAATATAAGATGATGGAGTGGATAGTAAAAGTCTGTTTTATTGATAAAGAGCATTTCATTAAAATGGAAAATGGAATATTAGATATATGTTTTATTTTTCACACATTTCCAGCATTGATCTTAATTTTGATCTTGATATTCTGATGCTTAAAGGTTCTTATTCGAAAGTAAGTCTCATTGATTTCAGTTTTGATCTTCCCCCAGTAAATATATCAATGTGTAAGTTGTCCAACCTTCACAAGGAAATAAGTTGTATTAGAAGTGTTTATTTTGTCCCATAATAGAATGTATTTTCATAGCTACTCTGAACTTCACCACTTAATTTATTAATAAAATATACCAGAACTTGAAATGGTCCATAAACTATGTTCTGAAATCAGGAATCTTTCCAATAAATTTATGCTTGTGGGAATAACATTTATAAATTGCTGTTTTACAGATTTGCTGTAGTATTCTCAGTAATCATGACTTTTAAGTGTTTGAGCTTTGATTCAAATCATGTGCTTTGGATACAGTAGTTGTTTTGACCTTTTTGGGATGTGAGCTTATGCAAAGAATGGAAGAAGCTCTTAAACAAATTTGTCCTGTCTGTGTGTGGGCTTGTGTTTTTTTTTTTGTGTGTGTGTGTGTGTGTGTGTGTGTGTGTGAGAGAGAGAGAGAGAGAGAGAGAGAGAGAGAGAAAGAGAGAGAGAAAGAAATTTAATTTGGTTCTACTCATTTTTTTTTCTGGAGATCAGAAAGCAAGGATGCTTACTGCATTAGGGCTATATAAATCTTTTTCAGATGTGTGGAAGTAAATTACAAAACACTTATTTTAAATTTTTAATTTTTCTGTATTTGGAGACTGCTTTGGAAGTACTTCTGTTTTTTTGTATATGGGTGTTTATATAGCCCTCTTTTCTTCAGTCCTATCCTCCATTGGTTGTGGAGACAGCCAGGAGTAGTTACCAAAATAGCCATCAAATCAGAGAAAAGATGTGGCTGCATAAAAAAAAAATGTGAAAAGAGTGCTTTATACATGCATCCATATTTTTCTGAAACACCTCTTCCAAAGGATTTGCAAAGCCTTACTAGATACTCTAATAATAAAAAAATTATATTAGGAATGATGTAAAAAAATTATAGGTATTATGGCCTGTTATAAGGCAGTAAAAATAAAAATGGTTTGTAGGATTTAATAACTGATCCCAAGAAAGAATTTGGTATATGATGAAGTTGAGGGAAGAGAACGTAATTTTTAAAGGGGAAATATGAGAATACATAAAACAGAATAAAAAGAGAAAGAACAGTTTTGATTAATCAATTATATGAGTTGTTTCCATGCTGGAAAATGTAAACACGTATCTTGCAAGGAAACATTTATGTATTTCATTTATATACTGTAACATGTGCTCTGAACCATGAGGCCAGCCTGCAGTAGTTTGCAATAGAACATAATGACAATCAAAATAAAATAGTATCCATAACAAATATCACAATGCAATCTAAAATCATCAGGATTATAATTACTTAGCATCCAGCAATAACCATTAAAATGCTGTGGTAGAGCTCCATTTTCATTGCTTTTTTAAATATCAGGAGGGACAACACCATATGAATCTCTAGAGCAGTGGTTCTCAACCTTTTTAATGCCGCAACCCCCAACCGGTCGTAGTTGAGGACTACTCAACCGGTCAATTGGTGCAGCACCGTTTGCAGAATGGGACTTTTGGCGGGCTTAGCAGGGCAGAGACAGCCTGGACAATTCCTATTGGTTTTTGAAAGCCAATAGAATTAGACTCTATTCAAGAGAGTCTATTCTATTGGCTTTCAAAAGCCAATAGAATAAAAGGGAGTAGCACAGCTAAGGAAAAGGGGAAAAAAATGGCAGACTGCATTGTTTGGCGACCCCTGTGAAATGGTCGTTCGACCACAAATGGGGTCCCGACCCACAGGTTGAGAACCACTGCTCTAGAGGGAGACTTTTCCAAAGAATAGATGCTGTCACGAAGAGCCATTGACACTTGCCCCCTTTTCTGAACCTCTCAAAGTTAGGGGAGATAGCTTTCAAGATTTCCATGCAGGAAAGATAGTCAAGACTAATAAGTTTAATTTGAAGCAGATGATTACCTGAGATGACAAGCTTTTAATGTTAAAATCATAACTTGGAATTATACTCCAAAGCCTATGGTTAGCCTATGCAGAACCCTCAGCATCTGTGTAATGTGCAAGTAAAAGTAATGGCTATTATCTAATGACAGGCAGGCTGCTACTTGTTGAACCAACTGTGGCTCCTGACAGTCTTCATGTAGAGTCAATTAAAGCGATATGTACAGATGGTGACAAGAGTGTGAGTCACTGTTGTCAGGCTTATTTCTCCAGAAAGGCTGAAACTGGCATACTAGCAGTAGCAACTTGTTTCTTCCCATCCAGGCCCTGATAGTCAACAAG